TTTTGATCATGGCCATTTGGGTGATTTCTGTTATCATTATGATTTAAAAAGGAGCCAAACAACTATTTGATAATAAATGGCTTCATATGATCATCATACTTCAATAAAAGAGCATTTTTTGGCATGATCAGTCACATTTTCAATATCAATGCCAAAATTTCACAATTGCTGCAAGAGTATGCAAACTTTTGAGCACAACCGTATGTAGATTTCTCTCTTTCAGCTAATAGACTGAACAATCAAGCAGCATAGATTATGATAAATGTACAGTTCCTGGCTGTTTTATTCAGACAGCCACAGCACTCATGGCAGCCTAATTAACCAAAGAGTGACTGCATCTGATTAGATATGGTCATTCATTGGCTTGCAACCTTCATCTCGGCTCTGTTAATTTTGAAATCAACTTTTGTCAAATCAAGTGGTGCCAACAGGGCCACCAGAGGTTTCAGTTTTTGCTGCTTCAGCAGGAATCAGCTGTAATTTGAACTGTGTATGAGAACAGCAGATAGACAATATGTGTCTGAGAGGGGGGCCTTGACCTCCTACTATGCAAAGGTGTGTAAAACAAAAAATCAGATTCTGTTTTGCACCTAAAAAACAATTGAAAGCCACACATAGATTGTAACTTGTTGGTAAATATTTGTGTTCCTAACTTATCAAAGCGAGTCGGCCAAAGACTACCTCTATAGCAACTGATCAATATCACACTTTCAGCCTGGGTTCACACTACAGTGGTGCCGTAAATCCCATGTGGTGTGTACAGGAACCACACCACATTCCTGTACAAATCACATGCGATTTGTATGCGGTGCGATCACAGGCATACATTTTGTATGACTCTATTCGCACCGCACCCGCACTAAAAACGTGCAGGGCCCTTTTTTGGTACGCACTAGAATCGGATCGCATAGGTATTCACACCTATGCTATCTGATTTTGCACATCGCACTGCGTTTTGCAGACCAATGTCAGCGTTTTGTTAACTTAACATACACACCCGCATCGGTTCGTATGAACGGGGTGCGATTGTGATGTGGTGTGGAATTCGCACAGAAAACGCTGTGAACTCCATACCGCATCAGTGTGAACCAGGGCTTAGACTTCAACTGTAGGTTGTAGGTTGTAATTGATCATGTAAGAGGATTGACAGCTTTTCTTGGCTTCAGCTGTTCCTGGGTCAACTTTTTGGATTTGAAAGCATTTTACCAATAAGAAGATATTGTTCTACAATTCAGGGTCGACTGAGCCGTACAGCTTAACTGCCAGTGTATTTGTCCTGCCCAGCTCCCCCTGATACTTACCTGAGCCCGATCTCGATCTATTACCATGCATGAGAGCAGAGGCTCTCTCCGCTCTCTCTCGCATGAGTGCCCCCCATAGCAAGCATATGGGGCTACCCTGTGCAAAACCATTGCACAGAACAGGTATAAAATTTTTGTTACTTAAAAAAATATGGGTTTACAATCACTTTAATGGCTGTGTGCTGATATACTGATGCACTTGAGTGTACGACAGTGATATAAACACGAGTACAACGTACAGGCATGTGCAGAAAAATAGGATAGCACCGCCATATACCGTACAAGAGTACAGCAGCGCACAATCATTCAAGTCATCTGGACTGATTGGACACAGAAAGCACCCCAGCAATTGTGCTGAACAGGCTTCGCTGTGTAAATGGTTTGGAAAGAACAGTCCATGCCATAATCCAAATATTCTGTTTTAAATGATTATACTTGTACAGGCTGATTTATAAGAGATTTAGCCTGACTTTTCAGCTTGAGTGTCAGAGGTCAGAGGACATCCTGTCAACTACCTGACCTCAATAACTTCAAGCTTCAGTTTTTGATATTGCTATCCATTCTTAGGAGTGGTGAAGCTATTGTGAGGGCAGGTAGTTGATAGGGTAGATTTCAAGTGACCTCTGACCCCTGACACTCAAGCTGCAGAGGCAGAAACAGGGTAAGTAATGCTAGGTAAGGGAAAAAAATAGAACTCTTTTTAGACAGACCTAAACATTTTAATAATTCAATACTGAATATTCAGGTTCTATACCAGGTCAGGGCTGGTTCCCCTTAACCTGCACCTAAAGACCTTGGGAGAATTCTAGATCATTGTTTTCATGCAATGTAATTTTTAAACAGTACTGCTTCCTAAAGTTTAGCTATGCCTTCCAGAATGCTAAACTTTCCTAGGGATTTATTTATTCCAGGTACTTATATAGCGCATCAATTTACGCAGCGCTTTACATATATATTGTACATTCACATCAGTCCCTAACCCTCAAGGGGTGTACAATCTTAGGTCCGTAACTTACATTCATACATACACATACAAGGGACAATTTAGACAGGAGCCAATTATCCTACCATGATGTCTTTGGAGTGGAAACTGGAGTATCCAGAGGAAACCCACGCAGGCACAGGTAGAATATGCAAACTCCAGACAGGTGGTGCCGTGGTTGGGATTCAAACCGACGACCCGAGTACTGCCAGGCAGAAGTGCTAACCATTTAGCCACTGTGCTGCCCAATAAGGATGTATGATACTGTGAGGAAAACAATCATACTTTGTGTATTATGTGTATTTTAGCACATGCATTTGAAACAAAATGAAGTACCAATCTTCTAGAAAATTCGTAAGGAAAACACATACCATATGCTTCAAAGCACATAAAAAAATACATACTAAAAGCACGTCTTTTTAGGCTAGGTTCACAGCTGTGCAGGTGGTGCCCCTGCGGATCCGCACAAAAATCTGTGCAGCTGCACCACTTGCACAGAGAAATGCGGACCCACGGGCGGGTGCCATTAGTTCTAATGGCACGCCGCCCGCACTGGAAGACGCAACTGTACTTGGAACCGAGGTTCCCATGTGGGCTGTGTTTTCGGAAGAAGTGCAGGGAGTTCTTCCCTGCGTGTCACGGGCACGGGAGTCCGTTCATATCAATGAGCTCTCGTGCCCGTGCAAAACGCGGCACACACGGCCACATATATGTGAACCGGGGGGCGTAAAGTGTAAGTTCACCTTCTTTCAAAAAAATTAAAAGGTGAATAAACACACTACACCCTGCCCACCTGGTCCCCACTGCACTTACCTTGGTGAATGATGAGCTGTCACTGCCCACACAGCCAATGTAGTGGTCCTTGGATATGAAAGCCCTGCTGTTCTTCCTCTTCTTTTGGGATACATCATAATAATCCTGACCATTCAGAATAGCTGTGATCTGTGTTGACATCCCAACCACTCACAGAAGTGCAGTGCAGACCAGGGGGTGGGATGGGGACGTCGTGGTGTGTCTGTGGTGGCAAAGGAGTAGAATGCTTGTTAATTTACCTTTTTTCATTTTTGTTGTGTTTTTTTGTTTTTGTTTTTTTTTAGAAAAGTTAAGCTTTCACTTTTAGGTGCAGAATAACTAAAAGGCCTTAATTCAGAATCATTATCAAGGACTTCTAAGCAGAAAGTACAAAGTGAAATCAGCAAATATGGCTACTGCTTGTACATTTATCATAGAGCAAACTAGTAGCAATTAAAAATGTTCTATACTAACATAAGCATAACAAAGCTGACAGCATGTTATATACATACAGGAAACATTGTTCCAAATAGACACCTCAATAGAAGGGCTGAAATTCCTAACTTTCCAGAGAAAATACTGCTCAAGGTTCTTTTCAGTGCTGCTCACACATATGAAGGCTTAGGTGTTTATTTATCAGATTTCTGCAGTAAAGGTAATTCAGATTTTCCCCTTTAACGGGGACTATATGACTTTTACCTCTACATATGTTGACACTACATAAGGAACAGCACTTTTCTCCACAAAATCTAGGTATGTCTGCCCTTCTATTTCTCATTTTTTCAGTGCCAGCTATGCTCTCAACAAAAGCTTTATATTGGAGCACTTTATAATACATATATAACTTAGCAGGAAAATATCAGTATGTACAATTTCAGACGACTGAATATGTTTATGTGAGAGCTTGGTGATTTTTATCGAACACACTGAATTAAAAGATCAAAATCGCTTGAAATATGTGACCAACATTAGTAACTAAAATGGTTTCAACAAGTCTGTACTTGTCCTGCCTGATTACCCCACCTGCTCAGATGTGTGTGCTTTTCTCCACTTGGATAAAGGAATGGTTAACTATTTAAGCCCCTGACACATTTTAACTATGGGCTTATTAATTGTGTCAATAATTCTGCTATTACTTCCAATACAGAAGAGATACATTATTGTTTTTTGTAGGCATACAGTGCTATCTACTGATTCTCCAAAAGTTGTTTAATATGCTCTAATTTTAAAGATAAATGTTTGTTTTGACCAGCTATAATTTTACTTATAATTCTACTCTTGTTCCTTTTGTCAAAGGATAAAAATAGAGTCTCCAATCCATTCCATTATTTAATATATACATTTCATAAATTCATTCAGGGTGTTTTTTTAAAAAAAGGATGTGATTTATTTTTTTGTTTGTTTGTTTTCTACATATATGCCAAGAAAGCTTTGCTCTTCTTCCTCATCTTTCTTTAAAGTGTTACTAAACCCAGAACCCTGCATTCACTAAATCTGGTCTCCCACAGTACACAGAACATGGAAATGAAATTATTTTAATAAAAAAAACTGCTAAATACCTTTTCTCTTCAGCAGTTAGAGCAGTCTTTTGACTTCTATCAGTGTCCAGCAGAGCACATGTTAAAGCTTGTAGCAGGAGATTTCTTTCAGACAGTGCCCTTCTCATTTTTCTGGCAGGTGGACGTCCAGCATCATCTAGCTCTTTCCTAGCACGTGAAAGACTTACCTAAAAGTGTTACTAAAACCCAGGGCCCTGCATTCACTATATCTGGTCTCCCACAGTACACAGAACATGGAAATGCAATTATGTTAGTAATATAAACTGCTAAATACCTTTTCTCATCAGCAGTTAGAGTAGTCTTGTGACTTCTATCAATGTCCAGCAGAGCACTGGTTAAAGCGTGTAGGAAGAGTTTTCATTTTTCTCTAGGAGATGCAGAACCCCTGACCTCTGTCTGGACAGTGCTGATTGGCCCTGTGCTGATCACATGCACTCTCCTAAGAAAATAAAAAACCTCTCTAGCAATACACACTAAACTGAGCATGTGTAGAGTGTCTCTACAGGATGTCTTATCTGGAGGTAAGAGGGAGACACTAGAAGAAGGGAGGATCAGAGAAGTCAGGATCAAACAACATTTTTAACAATGCAGAGGATTAACCCCTTAGGTACCACAGTGAGTATAACAGGAATGCTTTACTGCATATACAGACTGATTTTACTGTTGTGGGTTTAGTAACACTTTAAGCCGGCCATAGATCGAATCTTGACCGGTTCAGATCGAATCTTGACCGGTATGGGTAGGCTGACTGTACCCAAGTTGATCGATTGCTAGCAGTAATCACAGTGTTCTCCCAGCAAGGACAGCTTCCCCCTCCACCAGAAGAATTCAATGGCTCCGCGGGAGGGATTCCCCGATCAATACTGACTGAACCAGTGGTTGCAGGAAAGACAATTGCACCATTTATGGCAAGCTTTAGGGCTTCCAGGACAGATCAGAGTGATTTTGATTGGTCATGTGACCACTTTGCCGAAATAGCTGTGATCTGTCTTGATGCCCCTAAGGAAGGAAGGTGGAGAAGAGTAAGGATTTCAAGTCCCAGGACTTATGCATCTCCTGCCTTGGCATTGACAGCTAATCACCCATGGAAGTGCAGTAGGGACTGGGGTGGAGGGTGTACACCTTTTCATATTTTGTGAACAAGGCGAGCTTACACTTTAAATGCAGAAGAGCGAATAGGCAATAAAAACAGTCATGTTTTTTTTCAGTTTTGACCAGCTATTAATTTAACACTGCTAGTATAGTTTTAAAATTATCAACTTTTTATTTTTGACCACTTCATCCAGGTGGACATCATATGATGCCCTGGGTTTTCAGTGGTTATACCGGATGATGCCTGCACCTGCAGGCATTGACTACATTACACAGAGAGAGAGAGAGAGAGAGAGAGAGAGAGAGAGAGAGCAACTGACATTGTTCTTCCCTCTCTATGACCCCAGGAACTAAAAGCGGCAAGGATTTTGTCACTTTCAGTTTTGGTTCTTTGTTTACCTGGCCATTAAAGGTGGGAGGAGATTAAAAAACAAAAGCTTTTAAAAACGACATTAAAACATATATAGAGACTCTTAGAGGTAGAGAAGAGAAGTTCGGGTGTGCTTGGTGTGATGATCGCGGCGTCAGATCCCAGCCCTTCTCACCAAACTCGTGACCGAAGGACGAGCCAATCTAAAACCACGCTGTCACGTGTGTAATAATGCCACGCCCATCTGCAACCTGCACAAAGATTTTCCACCTAATGGACCACAATCTGTGTATCTGCAGCCTGGGAGAAATTGTTACTGGGTCAGGTTAATTACACAATTAACCCTTCACACTGCCACCACCTCCTTTTTGTACAGAGAAAGAGGAAACTCGGCAATTACAGCAATAACACTATGATGGCTGAATAATCGTCTGTATACCACTGTCACCGCAGGCAGGTTATACAGAGGTTTAAACACACACAGTAGCGCTCTTCAGATGCAGGGTTTCTTAGTTTGCATTAAAGAGCTTTAGAAACAGTTCAACACTTTCAGAAAGTAAGATTTATTACTAAAAGGTCAAAAGGGTGCAATAAAAATATTTACAGAAAAACAATGTAGCCAATATATATATATATATATATATATATATATATATATATATATATATATATATATACAGAAAAGCAATAGCACAGAAAAGAGATAACAGAAGTTTAGAGGGATAAAGTACTTGCCGTCAGCCTTGGTTTAAGCAGATCAGGTTTCAGAGCCAAAAGGATGCCTTAACTCCCAGAGTTAGTTCTGATGTTAAATGGAGAATCTTCAACTTTTTTCAACTCACCTTAGCTTTTTCTAGGAACTCATTAGGGTGTCTTCTTAAAGCAGGGAACCAATCGCCTCATTTGGGGAGGGGTGTTGGGGCAGAGACCCAAGCTAGAACCAAAAACTCTCCCAGTTGATGTCATGGTTCATAACTTATTCTCGGTGCATTTAGCAGCCAGGCCACTAGTAGAGTAATATGCAGACGCATCTGTTGAACGGTTAGATATGAAATATGACATACCTGCTTGGATGGTTAAAGAGATATAATTTTCTGCTCTCCTGTATATGCCAGCTGGGGGGTGTAATATATCAGGCGACTTGTATTAAAGTGAGCCGTCCGAATATGTGCTCCATGTTTATGTAATTATGTCCTATTTGAAGATATAAAATTATATGGAAAAGTGAGTTTTTAAATGTAAGTCTGTTTTTTACGACTACCTGTAATGTCTTTGAAGCTCAGTGAGAGCTTGGTTTATGGTTTTTTCCGATTCCCTTTTCCAGCAAGAGTCTCGCAGACATAGGGGCACCAGTTAGTAGGGTTTATAGCCATGATGCCCTCCCAATGAGTTTGCTGCCTGTGATCTCTGTCATCATCCAGACTACATGTCACTCAAACAGAGAGGGAGGGGGGATATCGGAGGAATCTGATTTGGGAGAGAGATACAAGATGGAGGGTTTGGAGCAAAATGGATGACCGCGCGTCCCATCTCTGCGTGCATGATTGCTACACTTGGGTCTGCTGGACTATGTTCACACATGCTCTTGGGAGTAACTGCTGGAGGAAATGCTTACATGTGGGGCATAAACTTTCTGGGCTGCATTTGCATACTCTGGTTGAGCGGTAATAGCACAAACACCCATGGATCTTCCGGGGACCTCTTTTCTCAGTTCCGGGGAGATACTTTTCTCAGTTCCTCCCCTATGTATTCACACCCTTCCCCCCCCCCCCCCTTTTTTTTTTTTTTCTCCTATTTTTCCTGCCTGATGATGGAAACTGGTTGGCTAAAGGCTTTATAAGATAATTGGTATGTCATAAAGTTTTCTAATTTTTGGCAGTTGAACTACCACTTTTAAACTGGTCTATTGTCTTCGAATAAACCTAGACCTTCAGCAACCTGCATGTAGGCAGGGCCACCATCAGGGAGGGACAGCTCATACACATGTAGGGAACCCGGGCATCCCGAGGAGCCACATGACAGGTCCCAGAAGCCGCCGGACCAATCACAAAGCGCAGCGCTTCTCGCTCATGCGCACTGGGAACCCGGCGTCAAGCCGAGCGCCCACACTACAGAAGTCGGGAAGACAGCGCGGCGCTGGATAGAGGAACAGGTAAGGTCCCACTGCAGAGCGGACACTAACCAAAGAACAACTCCGCGGAAGTAAGAGCGGGTACCTGTCAAATTCAGGTACCCACTCCCCCCCTCCCCAAAGGTCAGCAGTCATCTCCTGTACTGTCCGCAGTCTCTGGTCATCTCCTGTACTGTCCGCAGTCTCTGGTCATCTCCTGTGCTGTCCCGCAGTCTCTGGTCATCTCCTGTAGTATGTCCGAGGTCTCTGGTCATCTCCTGTAGTACATCCGCAGTCTCTGGTCATCTCCTGTACTATGTCCGCAGTCTCTGGTCATTTCCTGTACTATGTCCGCAGTCTCTGGTCATTTCCTGTACTATGTCCGCAGTCTCTGGTCATCTCCTGTACTATGTCCGCAGTCTCTGGTCATCTCCTGTACTATGTCCGCAGTCTCTGGCCATCTCTTGGTTACTATGTCCGCAGTCTCTGGTCATCTCCTGTACTATGTCCGCAGTCTCTGGTCATCTCCTGTACTATGTCCGCAGTCTCTGGTCATTTCCTGTACTATGTCCGCAGTCTCTGGTCATTTTTCCTGTACTATGTCCGCAGTCTCTGGTCATCTCCTGTACTATGTCCGCAGTCTCTGGTCATCTCCTGTATTATGTCCGCAGTCTCTGGCCATCTCTTGTACTATGTCCGCAGTCTCTGGTCATCTCCTGTACTGTATCCGCAGTCTCTGGTCATCTCCTGTACTATGTCCGCAGTCTCTGGTCATCTCTTGTACTATGTCCGCAGTCTATGGTAATCTCCTGTACTATATCCGCAGTCTCTGGCCATCTCTATGTCCGCAGTCTCTGGTCATCTCCTGTACTATGTCCGCAGTCTCTGGTCATCTCTTGTACTATGTCCGCAGTCTCTGGTCATTTCCTGTACTATGTCTGCAGTCCATTGGTTCAGAATATTTTTTTTCTTGTTTTCCTCCTCTAAAATCTAGGTGTCTTATGGTCAGGTGCATCTTATGGAGCGAAAGATACGGTAGTTCCATGAGAAGCAATACTGTGATATCAGATTTTACCTGTAGGTGGCCCTGTGAGATTTAATATGCCAACCACAGTGCAATGAGGCAAGTTTGTTAAGACTAATCATTTATTGTTACTAATTGGGAAAATAGAAGTGATGGACAGATTTAGAATGTACCTTTTTATTGTGAACTTCTTAGCCTTTTTAAACATTTAAAACTGAGAAAACTTTATTAGTAATATTAGCTAGAAACCCTCCTCTGATATTGGGTGCACTCCTTTTCTGAAGAGCATGACTTCAGCGTCTTTTGGGCCAAGTGTTGCACCCTAAACTAATCCCCACCCACTTGTGATACCTTTATCCAATAAGAACCCTTTCATGCCTAGTAAAGATGCTGTAATTTAAAGTATAGCTTCACCTTTAAAAAAAATAGAAATTGCACATTTTGTGTAGGTTAAAAACTGCATTTATTAATTTTTTTTTTTCTTGGGAACCTGTAAAGCATTGCACCCACAATCATCAGAACGTGGGTGCATTGTCAGGCTCTTGCAGACTGTCAGTACACTGTTTGCCCTATACCTATGGTACGGGCTGGCAATTACTGAAGTCCAGGAAGCTCAATGGACTACTAGAGTGCTCACCAGTTCATTGAGAACTACAAGACATCAGTCGCAATGGCTGACAGTACTTGTAGCCATTCATTCACAGAACTTGTGAGAGCGGGTGCGGGGAGATGGTCCCTTGTCTGCTGTCACAAAGAGGGTGTGGATTGGGGGGGTAAGGTGGTGAATGCTCAACATGTTACATGTTGCACCCTAAATATAGGTGTAATGTAACATGCTGTGACAAGTGAACTTATCCTTTAAAGTAAAACTAAGGGCAAAACTTTTTTTTTTTATTGTGGATACAGTAAAGGAGGGATATAACCCTTATAATTTTTTTTTTTGCCGTATATGTCCCATTGGGGAGATTTCACTTTACTTCCTGTCTCATAGCTAAAACAGGAAGTGAATGGAAATCCCTCTAAAGTGAGGGAATCCCTAGTTGCTGCCATGGTCACCAGAACTAAAAAGAGCTTTTATTAAATATAAAAATGAAGGAACGCTATCATCGTTTAAACATTACAAAGAATATAACAGAATATGTGTAACGGAACAGGACCCAGACCGCACTTGGGTATTTCCGTTATACTCTCGTTTCCCTGTCCGAACACAGATTCCCAAACACCACCCTGACAATACAGGAAATAGACAGCACCAGACTCTCTTGACAGGAAGTCAACTGCTTTATTTTAACACAAACACAAAATATATACACAGGACAGGGAAATACAGCCAGGAACAGGAAACACATCATCAGGCCCTCCCATCAAACCAAGACACAGAACAATGGGATGTAGAACATGGCAGTGAACATTGACCAACCCCCACACCAATACACAAACAGTACATCCCATAATAGTTTGCTGGCCAGCAAGACACAATAGAACAATGGGATGCAGCACTTGCCAGTGAACAATGGACAACCACATGGCAGTGAACAATGGACAACCACATGGCAGAGAACAATGAACAATCCCCACACCAATACACAATACTGGGATAGTCCCACCCTGTACCCCTAAACAGGCACAGGGTGGGTTAAACATAATGGTAATTTAGGGAGCTGAGACAGGGGTCTCCCCACCCCCAAAATCACTCCCATCACAATATGCAAAAAGGAAATAAAGGCCGCAAAAATTGAAAACGAACGATAGATTGCAAAAGATAGCAGGACCAACCCCCAAAAATTCTTCAAATATATTAATAGTAAAAAGGTCCAAGCATGTAGGCCCTTTACAAAATAATCTACAGTGGGTGACTGGGGACAAAGAGAAGGCAAATTTATTAAATACCTTCTTCAGCTCTTTTTGTATACAAAGGAGCATGGGGGAGCTCTTGTCCATAATGGGCATCGTATTGACACACCTTCAGATGATCCACATTGGCTCACAATTGATATGATCCAGAAATATTTAGACAGAATAAAGGTGAATAAAGCACCTGGACCAGATGGCATACACTCACGGGTCCTTAAAGAATTGAGCTCTGTCATTTCAAAGCCATTGTTTCTAATTTTTAGGGACTCTTTAATGATTGGCATAGTACCACTGGATTGGCGTAAGGCCAATGTGGTGCCAATATTAAAAAGGGGTCAAAATCTTTACCAAGTAATTATAGACCTGTTAGTTTAACTTCTATAGTTGGGAAGATACTGGAGAGTTTAATAAAAGGCCACATAGATGAGTTCTTGCTGGAAAAAAATATTTTAGGCAACAGACAGCATGGATTCATGAAAGACAGAAGTTGTTTAACAAATCTGATTTCTTTTTATGAGGGAGTGGGCAAAACCTTGGACAGAGGGTGGCGGTGGACGTGGTATACTTGGATTTTGCAAAAGCGTTTAACACAGTTCCCCACACTCGGCTAATGTGTAAGGTAAAGTCTATGGGCTTGGAAAAATCTGTATGTAAATGATAGAAAACTGGCTAAAAGATCGTATTCAGAGAGTAGTAGTTAATGATTCATACTCTGAATGGTCTAGGGTTGTCAGTGGTGTACCCCAGGGTTCAGTGTTGGGACTCTTACTTTTTAATATATTTATAAATGATACAGGGTCTGGGATTAAAAATCCCATTTCAGTCTTTGCAGATGACACCTAACTGCAGTGAAATAACGTCCTTACAGGATGTCTTCAACTTACAAGCCGACCTCAATGTACTGTTTAATTGGGCAACTATCTGGCAAATGAGGTTTAATGTTGATAAATGTAAGGTTATGCACTTGGGGACTAAGAATATACATGCATCATACATACTAGGGGGGTACAACTGGGGGAATCAATGGTGGAGAAGGATCTGGGATCTTTGGTAGATCACAAGCTTAATAATGGCATGCAATGCCAAGCTGCGGTTTCTAAAGCGAGCAAAATCTTCTCTTGTATTAAAAGAGGTATAGACTCCAGAGAGAGAGATATAATTTTACCCCTGTATAAATCATTAGTAACACCTCATCTGGAATATGCAGTTCAGTTTTGGCACTAATTCACAAAAATTCACTGGATACTAACATTTATAGGTGAAGTTGATCCAGGGAATATCCAATTACCGCTCGTGGGATCAGGAAGGAATTTTTTCCCATGCAGGAGCAAATTGGATCATGCTTTGCTGGTTTTTTTTGCCTTCTTCTAGATCAACTGTTGGTATAGAATTATAACCTTTTTTTTTTTTTTTTTTTTAAATGATTGAACTGGATGGACTTTTGTCTTTTTTCATCCAGACTAACTATGTAACCCCTATGGTAGGAGGTACCAGAGTTGATTAGGCCTCCACGCCCCTCCCATGAAAAATAGATATCCGAGACCTGTCATATCTATGTCCATTTTGAAGCTAATTTCATGCTGGACAATAATTTGCATGGTACCAGACTGTAAATGGTAGGATTTCAATAATATGATTACTTATAATATTATTACTTATAAGAAACTGTATTTGGGATTTGTCAGGACTCTCTGACAGCTCTTGCTATAACATCAACCAAGGAACACCTAACCAGGCTTGAGAGAGCCATTGTACCATTTTTGCTTGATTAATTGGACTTTGCAACTTCTTTTTAATTCTCTGTTGCTTTATTGACTCTTTATTTCTTTGTAACACCTTTTTTTCTGTTAATATTTTATTTGCCCCATTTTGACCTTTTGATTGTGTTAAAACTATCCCTAAGACTTTTAATGCAAACAAAAAGAATTCTTGTCTTGAGTGCTACTGTATTACAAATCTCTGAACATACCTGTCTGCGGTGACAGTGCGTGTTGCAATCATTTATTCTAAAATCATAGTTGTTGCTAAGATTGTGAGTTTCCTCCTTCTTGGTAAAAAGGCGATGGTGGTGTTTAAAGGGTTAATTGCTTAATTAACGTAACCCAATGACAATTTGCTCTCACGGTGCTGGTACCTTGATTGTGGTCCAGTGAGCTGGAAAATCTTTGTGCAAGGTGCAGCTGAGAGTGGCATTGTTACATAAGTGACAGCGCGGTGTGAGATTGGCTGGTCCTTTGTCACGAGTTGAGAAGGGCAAGGATCAGGCACCATGTTCATCACAGACACATGTTCGTTTACATCCGCCATCCAATAGAGAACAATGGATAGTCCGATCGGGTCCGCTTGAAAAATGGACAGGTGGACCTGATCGTCTGCTCATGTGCAAGGGGCCTTACTGAGCACAACCCACTTTTTCCAAAGTGTTGCAATTGGAGTACAAAACTGCACCCAACACCATATCGCACCCTAAGGACGGTCATTCCTACTGACAGGAGGTAGCAGTGACAGTTCATTCAGGTATCCAACATGAGCTGACAAGTCCATACTGCCTGTGCATTTGTAGAAAAAATAAAATTTATTTTAAAAGATAATGTATACTGGATTTCATACATAACATTCTTTCTAAATTAATGGTATTTATAATGCCAGATAAATATCACATATTGCATGTTAATATTTAGCATTCTTGTTTTATATCAACAGGTGGCACTTTGGGCTACTTCTTGTATTTTGCAGACTGTCTTCTGCTGTAAAGCTTGTTTTACATATTGAAGTGGATAACCCATCAGCAGTGACTGTGCTCTTTATTTAGCTATCACATAGTGCTCTGGGGATACTCTGTCATGTTTTAAATATTTTTTGCATATCCAAGGTTGTGTATCGATGAAATACAGATGCAAGTCTGATTAAAAAAAATTATATTTGTCCAAAAATCCATTATGTTTTTCTTTGTTTTTTTTTTTTTTAAGTTGTTCCATATAAGACAGGCTGGGCTGTGCTTTGTGTGAGAAAATGAGGGGAAAAGGAAATGTGATCATTTGAGTCAGTCTGCAGTTATTAAATCAATCTGCATTTATTCAGAAACCACAAAGGTGGTCTAATTGGAAAATCTTTTAGAAATAGACAATACAGAGGTAAAAGGCAAAAATAATGTCTGTGAGTACTTTGATGTTTTTACTGTATTTTAACTGAAAATGTATTCAGAGGTGTAGCGACACTTTTATAATGTTTTTAAAGGGGCAATACGACAAAGTTTTGCTTTGATTTTATTTTATATGTAAATATAATAAAACAGATTGAGATTGCTTGTTTTATTTTTTTTATATCAATTATCTAAATTGATGTAGTAACTGTGATTCATTCTCTGCAGCTCAGATTGGCATGGTGTTTGGCCAGAAGGTTTTTGAGTTACGTCATTAACCTATGCCGGGGTCAGTACGATTTCTTGGAGCGCCTTTCTGAGTCATTGATACTCTACCTGCTGACTTTCTTGGACCTACAGGACATTGCTCAGCTTTCCCAGGTCTCTCATACATTCCAAAAGGTAAATGTTTTAGATGGCTGTACCTGCTGTCAGTTTATGAAATGATCAAACAAAACATCTCTTACAAAGCTTAACCACTTTTGGGCCACCTGCAATATACTGTGGACGAGCGGCAGCTAGAGGACCAGCGACGTACCTGTACGTCGCTGGTCCTTTGTCAACCCAGGGGGATACTACGCGCCCAAGGGGGTGCGCAACCCTACTCCCCCACATCTGCTGTGTCCACTGGACACACCAAAATGAAAATCCTGGTAATCTGGACCCGATGATCGCTGTGCGATTACATGATCAGAATGACAACAAAGCTTTTGTTCCTGTTGAGCTGTGATTGGTCCATAGCTCTCACATGACACATGGGGCCAATCACAGCACCCTGTACCATGTGACCAGCTGGAGCCAATCACAGATCACTATTATATTGAACTTAATACATTCCTGACTGCTCAAAGTAAGCTTTGTATTGCAGAGCAATGGTCTTCATTGCTCCTGCAATGCAAAGTGTAAAGAAAAAAAAAAAAAAAAAAAAAATATATATATATATATATATATATATATATATATACAGTGGGGATCGAACGTTTGGGCACCCCAGCTAAAAATTTGCATTAATGTGCATAAAGAAGCCAAGGAAAGATGGAAAAATCTCCAAAAGGCATCAAATTACAGATTAGACATTCTTATAATATGTCAACAAAAGTTAGATTTTATTTCCATCATTTACACTTTCAAAATAACAGAAAACAAAAAAATGGCGTCTGCAAAGGTTTGGGCACCCTGCAGAGTTAATATCTTGTACTGCCCCCTTTAGCAAGTATCACAGCTTGTAAACGCTTTTTGTAGCCAGCCAAGAGTTTTTCAATTCTTGTTTGAGGTATCTTTGCCCATTTTACCTTACAAAAGTCTTCCAGTTCTTTGAGATTTCTGGGCTGTCTGTCACGCACTGCTCTTTTAAGGTCTATCCATAGATTTTCAATTATGTTGAGGTCAGGAGATTGTGAAGGCCATGGTAAAACCTTCAGTTTACGCCTCTTGATGTAATCCCCCCGTGGTTTTCGAGGTGTGTTAGGATCATTATCCATTTGTAGAAGCCATCCTCTCTTTAACTTCAGCTCTTTCACAGATGGCATCAAATTACCATCCAAAATTTTCTGAAATTTTATTGAATCCATTTTTCCTTCTACTCATGAGATGTTCCCTGTGCCACTGGCTGCAACACAACCCCAAAGCATGATTGATCCAACCCCATGCTTAACAGTTGGACAGAGGTTTTTTTCATTAAATTCTGTGCCCCTTCTTCTCCAAACGTACCTTTGCTCATTCCGGCCAAAAAGTTCAATTTTAACCTCATCGGTCCACAGAACTTGTTTCCAAAATGCATCAGGCTTGTCTATATGTTCATTTGCAAAGTTCAAACGATGATTTTTGTGGTGAGGACGTAGAAGAGGTTTTCTTCTGATGACTCTTCCATGAAGACCATATTTGTACAAGTATCTCTTTATAGTCGAATAGTGTACCACAACTCCAGTGTCTGCCAGATCTTTCTGGAGGAATCGTGCAGTCAAACGTGGGTTTTGAATTGTTTTTCTCACAATCCTGCGAGCTGTTCTGTCTGATATTTTTCTTGGTCTTCCAGATCTTGCTTTAAATTCCACTGTTCCTGATGACTGCCATTTCTTAATTACATTCCGAATAGAGGATATTGACATCTGAAAACACTTTGCTATCTTCTTATAGCCTTCTCCAGCTTTGTGAGCGTCAACTATTTTCAGTTTCAGTTTTCTAAACAACTTTGAGATTGACATCACCTGGTCTTCCCAGACGATGATTGAGAACAATCCATGACACTGGCAGGTCTCAGCTTTGCAAAGGGGGCAGTGCATGCTATAAATTCTGCAGGGTGCCCAAACTTTTGCAGATGCCATTTTTTTGTTTTCTGTTATTTTGAAAGTGTAAATGATGGAAATAAAATCTAACTTTTGTTGACATATTATAAAAATGTCTAATCTGTAATTTGATGCCTTTTGGAGATTTTTCCATCTTTCCTTGGCTTCTTTATGCACATTAATACAAATTTTTAGCTGGGGTGCCCAAACTTTCGATCCCCACTGTATATCCCTGATCACACCCCTAGAGTAGTAAAATGTTACTACTAAGTATTTAAAAAAAGATAGTAAAAAAATAAAAATAATGTTTAAAAATAATGTTTTGGAAAAAAAAAATGATCTCAATTTTTTTTAAACTACTTGCCGCCCGCCTGGCAACAGTGTGTGGGTGAGCGGTGGCTCTGGGCAAAGCGACGTATTCTTACGTCTCTTTCTATCTCCAGGTGTGTGTGTGTGAGTAAAAGCACTATAGTTTACATGCACGCATTAGATTAGCACATTTAACTCTTTGATTACCCCCTATTAACCCTTTCATCACCCTGTCACCCAGCCAGTATCATTAGTGAGATGTCAGTATATAGAATTTTTCACTGATCACTGTATTGCCACTGGCAACATTAGATAGCATCAGGGTCTGTTAGCGCCCCTGCCAACCAGGGTCAGCTAGCATTAGATTGCCCTCACACTATCGCACTCACGCTATAGGACGATGATCAGAGCCATTACTAGTATACCACTTGTATAGATCAATATATTAATCACGAACAGAACTATACTAGTGCTTCCTGTGTATAGTGTCCCCAAAAATGCAGTGTTGGCAGGATCAACCCTGTTCCCTGCCAGCACTAGCGTTTAGCCGCTCAGCTGTTTTTCACGGAAGATTTGAATCAGTTGATTGTGAGCCAAAGCAATTTCTACGCACAACAATACATCGCCAACCACCCAAATTCAGCTCTTGCCAGACAATTCGCATGGAAACCTATAATAGTTTCTGAATTTAAAACTTTTTGGGCCTAACCCTCAACATGGGCATTACAAAAACGGTTATATGCGGTCATATTGGTCCACAGACCCGATTCATCATATGCCCATGTTCTCTGCTGTTACATTTATGCCCAACATGGACCAGCAACGTACTGGTGCATTGCTGGACTTTGAATGGTTATACCAGGATGATGCCTGCAGCTACAGGCATCATCCTGGTATTGTTTTTTTTCAGCTGGCGGTCGGCTTTCATGTAAAAACTATCCTAGCAACTAATTAGCTTTTACAAGCAGCGGGAAGGGACTCTCCCTCCTCTCCTGTCATTTTCCAAGGTTTTCTTGGGCGTTCCCATCCTACAGGGGAACCCAAAAATGCAGCCGGCAGTTCCGCTGGCTGACAGTAGAGCTGATCGGAGACTGGAATGCCTCCAATCATCTCTATGGTCTAAGAGAACGGAAGCTATGAGCATTTCATCATTTCCGTTTTTGCCGGATATAAACAGCACCATTTTATAATTGGGAAAGAATCTGATCTTGGTGTGATCAGATGCTTTAAGGGCATAGGAGAGATCTAAAGGTCAAGTGTAAAAAAAAATTTAAAAAAAGGTAAATAATAAAAAAAACAATTCACCCCCACCCTCATGCTCACGCACAAAGCAAACGAAAAGGGCAGTCCCATGGCGATATGTAAACAGGGATTGCGCCATGCATGTGAGTTATCTCTGCAAATGTCAGATTGAGGACAGTAATTCTAGCACTAGACCTCCTGTGTAAATCTAAAGCGGAGACCTGTAAAGGCTTTTAAAACGTTGCCTATGGATATTACAATATTACGTAATTTGTTGCCATTGGACGGGCGTGTGCAATTTTAAAGCATGTCATGTTTGGTACTCTTACTGAGTGTACCATCATCTTTTATATTTTATCAAACAGTTGGGCAATATATTGTGTTTCTCTGCATTAAAATTTTAAAACATTTATTTTTTCCAAAAAATTGGAGTTTGAAAAATCACTGTGCAAATACTGCGTGCAAAAAAAACCAGTTGTTTAAAGTAAACAAAAAGTGTCAGAAAAGGCTTGGTTTTCAAGTGGTTAGAAAAGTGGGAGATAGCTGGCATAAGCTTCTAATTTTGGCCCTGAAATGCCAGGATAGTAGAAGCACCCTCCCCAAATGACCCCTTTTTGGAAAGTAGACACTCCAAGGTATTTGCTAATAGGAATGGTGAGTATTTTGCAGAATTCATTTGTTGCCACAAGTTTTTGGAAAACGAAGAAAGAAAATAAAAAGTATTTTTTCTTTTTTTCAAAACCCTATGACAAAAATGAGATCTGCAAAATACTCACCATGCCTCTTATCAAATTCCTTGGGGTGTCTACTTTCTAAAAAGGGGTCTTTTGGGGGGTGTTTGTACTATCCTTGGCATTTTAGGACCTGTGATAAGTTTGTTATGAGGAAATATACACATTTGGTATCCCCACACTCAGGAGAAGTAGCAGAATAAGTTTTGGGGTGTAATTCCACATATACCCATGGCATGCGTGAGGTATATATCATTTAACTGACAACTTTGTGTAAAAAAAAAAAAAAATTTGTGGCAAAAAATAAAATGTTTCATGGGCTCAACATGCCTCTTCGCAAATTCCTTGTAGTGTCTACTTTCCAAAAAGGGGTCACTGGGGGAAGGGAAATGCTGTACTTTTTTTTAAAAACACATATGAAAGCATCACAGTGGTGTAAACTATGCATTTTGTTTGGCAAATAAATGCAAAAAATGTGCGTCCCAAATGCATGTAAATGCCACCCCCATAAAACAGAATCTGAAAAATGCACAGCAGCCACCAATGAATGACAAACACATTGTTAATGCGCATGTGGAACTGTGCACTGGCTTAATCCTTTCGCTGCCAGGTCCATACGCTGTACGGACCTGACAGCAGAGGGTTTTATACATAATCCAGTGGCTGCAGCCACTGGGATTGTGTATAAAACTGACAGGCAGACTCCTGCCTGTCAGGTGGAAGCAGTCAGGCGGCTCCGCTGCCGCTAATTGCTTCCACAGCCCCTGGTGACGGTGTGCCCCCCCCTCTCCACAGGCACTCTTCCGCCATGTATCCAGGCTTCGCTTGCCCATCT